CAGCCGTTTGCCGCCGCTGTGATGGCCTCGGCCATTTCGAGCGCGAGTGTTTCGCACCGCAGGGCCAGAGCTCGTACCGCCCTAACATGTACACAAGCCCTGCCCCGTCCCCCAGCCGACAGGGAAACTAGCTAGTCCCACACCTAGCAAAGCCGGCCGGGTGGGACGAGGCGACAGGTCGCACGCTTCTCTGTATAAATGTAGTGTAGATATTAACTCTAGCCAGAAGGGCAATCACGATAGCTTATTTGACAGGACTGTAGGGAGACAGCCAGTTGTCTCGGCAGCATTTGACGGGGTCCCAGTAGAGTGTCTACTTGACACTGGGAGCCAGGTGACAACCATTAGCAAAGAGTTTTTTTTCGCAACTTCGGCCAAAGGGGGGAGCGGCTGCAGGACGCCAGCAGTTGGCTGTCTATCACGGCTGCCAATGGCTTACCTATTAAGCAGGTTGGGTTCGCAGAAATGACTGTTGAGATTCTTGGACATACATTGTCGGATGTAGGAATTGTGGTTGTTGATGACAGTAGTAGTCCGTGTCCCTGTTATTTTAGGGACCAACGTGATTGACCGGTGTAAACTTTCCATTTTCCCCGGAAAGAGATCTAGCTACGTCAATGCCCTCCCTCTAGGCAAGGAGGGAGAGGCGTGGTAGAAGGCCCTACGCGCACATGAACGTAAACAAACTCTGGCTGATGAAAATGGCCGGGTGGGCTTTGCTCGGGCGCCGGGCAGGAATGATATAGTTATCCCAGCCAGGCACGAGATGGTTATCTATTGTAGAGCCCGACCTTCGGATGACCCGTATGAGGTAATCGTAGAGCCGCCTGAAAACGGGGTCTTGCCGAACGGCATTTTGGTTGCCAAAACTTATGCTAGAGTTAGTCACGGAAGATGCCCCGTGCGCGTAGCGAACATTACCCTTCGCGATATAACCATTGGTTGCCACGCCGTCATGGGGGAGATGTTTCTGGCGGAAGAAGTACGTGAATCTGAGAACGCCGTGAGATTTAGCCAGAACACTCCCCACAGCGTGCACGTGGATTTAATCGCCCAAGATTCCAACTCCGACGCGCCGGACGGCGGAACGGAGGACCTTAGGGAGATCATACCTGGCTTAGACATTGATGATTCTCAGCTGACTCCCGAACAGCGGGATCAGTTGGCGGCGTTACTCAGGAAGCATAAGGGCGCGTTCGCCAAAGACGACTCTGATTTCGGTTTCACCGAAACGGTGACACATGAGATCCACACCGGGGACGCGCCCCCCTGCCAGGAGAGATACAGGCGGATTCCGCCCACCCTGTACCAGGAGGTAAAGGACCATGTGGCTGACCTGTTAGATAAAGGTATTATTGAACATTCCACAAGTCCCTGGTCTAGCCCTTGTGTTCTAGTAAGGAAGAAATGTGGGGGGCTCCGTTTTTGCATTGATTACCGTAAATTAAATGCCAGGACTCATCGTGACTCGTTTCCGCTTCCACGCATAGAGGAGTGCTTCTTACATATATATATATATATATAAATATATATATATATATATTGCGTATGACTTACCTACAGACAGTTCTGTCGAACGCACAATGCGCACGGTTACTGTGACGAATGTGTAGCGTATAAGTGGATTTCGTTTGTAGTGCGCAGGCCGTGTGTACTTTGGACGCACTACACGTTAACCACCACATACGTAAGTCACTTCCTACGAATGCCATATAACGGCCGTACTCACGGGTGCTTTCTGGTACTTTTAGTTGCAGTGTCCTTTTACCATTGGCCTCCCTAAACTCAGTTAAAATATGCTTCTTTCCACTTCGTCCTAGCCCTGGTCAATTATATTTTGTCAGGTAAATTGAAAATCTGTGCCTGCATGGTCTTTATAACAAGCAGTGCAGTTAGCGTTAAAGCCTTGTCAAGATATACTTACTCACTCAATTGCTCACTCAAACACCCACACGGGACCAGGTGGGAGGAGGCGGTTCTTTTACGAGAGACCCTAGTTCTAGAGGTGGTTCCGCCCTTTTGATATAGAAGAACTTTATTGCCCGACAATTGCACATGGTACAATGTATATGGCAGAAGAGGCGAAGAAGAGGCGAAGACGAGCTGAGCGGATTTTACTGGACAGTAGGGAGTTGTTGGTTCTCGATCTCAGGGCGTTGGTGGAGACATGGTCGTACCACCATTCTTTGCTGACATTTGGAGTCAGAGGCATCGAAATAAAAATAATAATTAAAAAAAAAAATATATATATATATATATATATATATATATATATATATATATATATATATATATATATATATATATAT